TTTAAAATTTTATAAATATTATTCAAACCCGTCCGCCATATAAACTCGCTCGGAAATATATTTATAACCCATCCTATAATTTCTTAACTCGTCCCGTGATTTATTTTCTTAAAGTAGTGATTTGAAAATTTAATGATTATTTATTATATATAAAAGTTTACAAATTGTATCATTCTCTAAGACATTTATATTTTAATAAACTGAGGATTTAATCTGTATTAAAGCGGCATGTTAATGATATTTTAAAATTTTGTAAATCATATATATAAAAGGTGGCCAACTCTCTCCATATGAGTGCCACATCATCACACAAAAAAATGACATGTGTCATTCTATATTATTTATAACAAAAATTAGCAAAATTAAATGAAAATATAAATAAATGTTCTTCATTGCATTAAATCTTCCATCAGTTTTACTCTTCAAAAAAAAAAAATACAAAATTATGTTTATATAAATCAAGCACTACTTTCATTCTACTTTTTTTTTTTACTTTTTATGGTCTCGATAATGACTGAAAATTTATTGGTATTGTAGTTTAGTTGTTTGCTACCTAATATTTTATTAGTTTAGTAATTTTATCTTCAGTCTTTTTTCATTATTACGTTTAGTGGTTTATATATGACTTATTATATGGTTCTCTCTCTTTTTATTTTTGTGTCTTATGGTAAGTTGGTAACATTGACATGCAAGGTTTTTCAAGTAATGGGTTTTTGAGACGTTAGAGATACCAATTCAAGACACGATTATTTATCTTATATGGTTATAGCAATGGCAGAAGATCTAAAAGTATTGACTTAAATTACTCTAAAATTTTTGCTTTCTTTTTCTTCTTTTCATAGGAAAACTCTTGAGATCTTGTTTAAATGATGTCAATCCAATATTTAATCATGAGTCTTTCCTGATGTGACTAGAGTACTAGACCTCGAGAATACATAGAACAAGAAATTGTTTATTTATAGTCAAATTAGGCAAGTTTCAAACCACACAAATAACATAATTACATATCATTGTATCAAATATCTTATATTGTTGTTGTATGTATTCTTGATAGTGAAAATATTACGATCTTAGATATATAAACAATCAAATTTATACATGAATCTAACCATGCATAAAAATGAATCTATATGATCTTTGATATTTCGAGTTAAAATGAATTTACCCATAAAAATAATATATAACTACATAAGATGGATATAATTTTATTAACTACTAAATAACAAACAAAAAAAAACATAAATTGGAAACAAGAGAATCTAACATTATTTTTTATAACAATTTTCAAATCAAACCCACGCGTAGCGTGGGTATTCATCTAGTATTGATTCAAACTTGTCCACCATATAACCCCGTTCCGAAATATAACCAGTCCTGTAATTTTTGAACCCGTCCCGTGATTTGTTTCTAAAAATAATAATTTAAAAAATGTGACGATAATTTATTATATATAAAAGTTTACAAATTGTATCATTTTCTCAAACATTTATATTTTGTAGTTTACAATTGTTATTAAGTAATATTATACCACAAGACAATTTTTGGTTTTATACTATCTTTTCTATATGAGACTGATTTGATATGTCTAATATTGGTGGTATTTAAAAAACAATTAAGGATTTAATCCGTATTGAAGCGGCGGATTAATGATATTTTAATTTTTTTATTATTGTTGATTCGAAAACTTGTCTCGCCAAACCCTTCCCGCCAAAAAACCCCATTTGTTTTATTAATCTTATTTATGATATGATTCTGAATCATTGTCTAAATATTTTAGTCGATGTGGAACGTTGAACATATTTTTCGTCAATTAGTTAATATATGTCCGTTTTTAAAATTTTGAATCACAATATATGCAGAAAAATTGATTTTTGTTTATTTCATGTATTATATGATGATTAAAAACAGTTAAAAACAAATCAAACAAAGATGATAGGAAAATCATAATTCTAAATCTTAATCAAATCTTCTAAATATCTAAATTATTAAATATAGAATATCCGGTGTATGAGTTGGGTTAAATATAACCCGACCCAACAAACTTTTTATGACCAAAATTTGTAAACGGTCGGATACCTATTGTATCCAAATGCATTTTACCCCACCCGCTAAAAATGTACTTCAAAATACTAGTATAGATAATCAAATTTATTAAAATTGTAATTTTGTGGGCTTGTAACCCAAATATATTAGAACCCAAACCCGAACAAACTAAAAATTTTAAAATTTCGGTTCAAATTCGGCAATAATTATTCTCTTAAACCGCACCAAAATTTAGGCCCTCATTGTTTCTCCATTTTCAAACTCATTTGAATGAACTTGATTGGACCATTTGGATGGAGATGGTTTCAGTAAAAAAAAACAAATGACAAATATACCCGCTTTTACAGGCATATCTTAAAAATTTTAATTTTCTATAAATTTCTTATTTAATATTTTTAAAATTACATATTTGTACCCAAAAAAACTCTAAAAATCATGAAATCATTATTTATGCCAAAAATCAAAAAATCGTGGAATTGAGTTTTTTTCCTGCCAAAACGGTGAAACTGTGGAAATGCGCTATTCCACCAAAACTGTAAAATCGTAAAATTCTGAACATATTTTCCTGCCAAAACTATAAAGTCACGATTTTGGAGGGAATATTGGGAAATATGTTTTCCCGCCAAAACCGAGAAATTGCAGAATGGTTTTTTCCGCCAAAACCGTAAAATCGCAAAACCGTATTTTCTTGCCAAAACTATAAAATTCCTGATTTTGGCCAAAAATTTAATTATTTCATGTTTTCCGCCAAAACCGCAAAGTCATGTTTTTCTGCCAAACGCACAAATTCATGTTTGCCCGCCAAAAACGTAAAAATTAGTTTTTATATGTTAAAATAATAATTTATTTATTTGTAAATATATTTTAGAGTAATAATTAAATTAATATAGCTAAGATTAAGATTAAAAATATGATATGTTTGATATTTGTTTGGTATTGATATGTTTGAGATTTGTTTGGTATTGATATTTGGTAATGATGTTGGATATTTGTTAAAATGAAAACATGACTAGTTTTGTCATTTTTGTCTAGATGAGAATGTGGATAAACTACAAAATGATCAAACAAACAAAAATTCATTTAAATGCATCATTTAGATAAACTACCAAATGATCAAATAAACATCATTGAAATGTATCATCCAAATGAATCATTTAGATGGATCATTTTCATTTGGATGTGAATGTCAAATGATGAAACAAACAGGCCATAGCACATCCGAACTAATTTTTTTGGGTTTATTCGGTACCATTTGTCCCAACCAGCTCGAACAGACCTGATTTGACCCAAACGGAATCGATGCCCAGGCCCTACCTCGTATTACATTACTTTCTTAATTTTGTATTCTTTTTATCCTACCCAGAGATTACCAAACAAAGTGATCAAACGTTATTTTGTCAATTTCTTGGTGATATTTTACTTGTAGATAGAAATTTGAGTTTTCGAATTAGGTATAAAAAAGTAAAGGATACGAGACTATCACGTATTATTTATATGGTTCCAAAATATCTCAGGACCAATCAGCCGCTACAGGCTAGTTTAATGCACTGAAAGTATCTTAAGACGATGACATCCATTGTCTAATCCGTCTATCTATATATACATTTTTGGAACACTTTTAGCAAATAAATCCTTCAGTTCCACCTTATTTACGAGTCCATGCCATTGGCATTTATTATTATTTTTACAAAATTTAAATAAAAGATATTAACCAAACAATATCTTGCCTAATTTGTTTCTAAAAATCTCTACACAATCTTTCCATATATCTTCAAAAAAATTTTATAGCAAATATTTATATTAACATTTTGCATAGCAATAAAAATACTAATTTATAATAATCAAAATATTCACATAGAAAAATCATATTCACATATAGGAAAAAGAACTATATCTATCATCATTTAAGCTGTTGCTTTATTTAAATTAAAAAAAAAAACACAAAAACTTGAAATCATATACTTTATATGATAAATTTTAAATATATATTAGTAGTATAAATTTAAAATCGTTCAAAGAACGGTATACCACGGGTGAGATCCTAAAATTATTAGATTTTATAACAATAATAATATATTTTCTTGGATTTTATGACACTAATAATTTAGCTAACGAGATAATATAGACGACGGGTTTATATGGGATGACGGGTTTGGGTCGATATTAATAAATAACGGTATATCACGGATGAAATCCTAAAATTAACAATCAAAATACAATTATAAAATCTTAAACACAAAACAAAAGAAACAATATTAACAAAACAAATCCAACTTAAATTTAAAATTTTTAGTTATAAAAAAACCGACCCACGGTATACTGCAGAGTAAAATATTCAAAATTTTAAAATCCACCATACATCGTTACTTAAAAAAAAATGTATGTTTTCGTATCTATACTTCAAAAATTGATAGATAGATATCTACATTTAAAAATACAAATTAATATGATATATCTTCAGTTAATATTTTTAAAAATAACATTACATTTTTTAAATAATATAGTCCCGCGGTGTACCGCGGGTTAAATTCTAGTAGTTTACAAATTTGGTGTAGTGGTTTAATTGAGACCTTCCTTAAAATCTGGCAAATAAATCAATAATCCCAACAATATCGACGAAGTCTCCTCATTACCTTAGACAAACCAACCAAACTATAGTAGAATATGAACCAACCTAACTATAGAATCTATAGTATTAAGATCTAGAATAGAGGATCATCAATAGAAAGTACAGTAAAGAGGACCGACTAAAACAAAAAATGAACATCTTATTGTTCCGATGTTACAAGACCTTTCGGAATTTAAGCTCAATTGATTCAAGGGATTTTAAAATTTTGAGTACCAATACAACCAAACTGAATAAGGTTCCTAAGAAGATCAACCAAGATTACGAAGAACCGACATATATGAGGAACCAGAACCAAAACTAAAACTAATAGCATTGGTGAAAGGATAGTGTATTCTTAACTATTTTATTTTTCCCCAACATCTTAAAAGGATGGATTCAACTGTAGAGTAAGAAATACACTACTAATCTACAGCCACAAATTAAACTTCATCCAAAACTCAGCAAATACATACCAATAGCGTGAATGCAGATCTCACAGCAGATATTTCTCAACAACTGTCCGGCCAAACTTCTCCTGAACATCCTTTGGCGTTTCGACCTGACAAAAGAAAAAAAGGGATTGTAAGGTTTTCACTATATTCCCCTTTTATTGACTTTTTTTTTCATCAGCTCAGACCACTCACCGCATTCAAGGCCTTCAAAACTGCCTTAACGGTGTTGTATGAGTTCCTTGAACCAATCACCTGAAAGTTTGGACCACAACCATACTTTAACTCCAACAAAAAACAAGAATCGATGTTATATCAGTAGGAAGCAATAATGTACCTTTGATTTGATGTTTTTGAACCCCGCCAGGAGCAAGATTGTTTTGACAACTCTCCCAGCTTTCATTCCCGTCGTTGTTGGTGCAGGCCATAGATATAACTAGTTGCAGATTCAAGTTTATTAAAGACATCTAAACAGATAAGTGGCATCAATAGATCATACTGTCAAAAGGAAACTCAAATAGATACCTTGGTTTTCTTGTAAGAAGTCTGTATTGCGTGTGCAATGGTGTGCTCCTCATGCCGCTCTACGTAATGAAGATTCTGAAAGCATTTCTCATACGCCTGTTTTGTAGTTGTTAGAAATGAGACCATGAGAACTAACTAAAGAAGGTTATAGAAAGACATATAAAGGCATCATAACAGAACAAGGCTAGTTTACCACAAATTCTATGTTTTATGTCCTTTGACCATTTCAAAGATCAAAATCAATATAGAAATGTAGACATTCATGCACAAACCAATAGGAAAGAATCTTGTCAAACAACCTAAAGTTGAACAGAAGCTTTTCATTGGTGCATTTGGGGAACGGCATCAATCTAGTTGAATTAAAGCCTTTATGCACAAAAGAACATCAAATTTTTACAAAAAGATGCATACTATGTATTCTCGTCCTTACCTACTAAAAGCTGTTTTTAAGATTTCTATGCCAATAAAAGCTGAAATTTGAGTGGACCTACGGTAGTCGTAAATTACATTTCAGTTGACCTAAACTCAACCTTTTAGAACATCTCATGTCCCCAATGCTTAGCAGTACAAACAAATCAAATTAGCTTTGTATCAGAATCACTTATTTGCCTATCTTTGCTATAATTAGATCCTGCCATTAGTCACAAATAAACGTAGTGTCGAGACCTGTAGTATCCATCTTTATAAGACACCACCAAACTTGTTTCTTCCATCAAAATGACAAATGGTAATGTGAGATTACCTTCTGCATTGCAGATTGGCCAGTCTCAGCTTTTGCTTTCGCATACCCAATGACACCTTCATAATTTCCGCAAACCATCAATGCAGTGTACCTTTCAACCCTGCCACCCTAAAAACACATGTCTTTTTATTATAGCCGAGCAATTGAATTAAGAGATACAAAAGAGAGAATGTCAAACAACTATACCTTTGTGACCTTAGCTACTTTTTTAACATCTATCACATGCACATCATACCCCTGCAAAAAATAAGAAATAACCTGATCAGCATTACGAACAATAAGAAAACTAGGCTAATAATTTTAGTAATGGATTGAGAGAAAAGATGTATGGCCATATCCACCATGGTCAAAGAAAAGAAAACTTCAGAACATACCAAACAAAATGTATCATAAAACTTAACGTATAAGCAAACTAAAACTCATGTAGGCATGTAGCTATTAAAATACTGGCCTTCTTAAGTACTCATATGTATTTGACACTGACAACATCAAAGTATATTGATCCCAAATCTTAATTATTGTTATTATCTAATAGAACGTATGGTTAAACTTATTAGAAATTTCAGGTAACAACGTGGAAAAATGCAAACATATTTTAATATAGATATGCCGCATTGTTACTAGCACAGAAAGCATTTTGAAGCAACACAAAACATGAATTTTTTGGCTATGTACTTCTTTAAAAGAGCCAGTACAGCAGTACAGCTACAATGGTTTTCATGAAAATTTATAAATCAAGGTGCCTCCAGCAAACTCTATTGCTTAGCATGTCTGACCTATTGAGTCTGCTTCCTGTTCCCAAATGTTAGAAGCAAATTTGTTCAATGTACCTCTAGCATCTTTATTTCAAACTTCTAGACACTTTTATTCTATGTAACACAGATCGGGACAAAACTTATGTCAACTAATTTCACTGTATTAATATGTTTTGGGGTTTTTAGTTTCTGCACCGCAAAAAAAACAGCACAACTGAGAGATGTGAATAAATAGAGAATACACTCACTTTTCTGTATAACGGTTGTCTTTTCTTCTCTGTCAAAGCATTTCTGTCTTCAGCCAGTTCTCTAATCTCCTCTTCCAACCGTTTCCCCTTCTTTCCAAATGTATGATCAAGCTCAGAAAGCTTAAGCTCAAGTTTCTTGTCAATTGCATTCAGCTTCTCCAAAAGAATATCATCCCTTTCTTTCATATCATCAAACTCCTCTTCATCATCATCATCATCATTGTCATCCTTAGACCCATCAACAACAAGACGCTCTTCTCTTTCCTCACCACCACCTTGAACATTATCACGTTCGATAACTCCATAATTAGCAGGATTGTTTGGATCAAAAGCCTCTTTCCACTCAACCAACCTCATAGCTCTATTCAATTTCTGCTGGAGAACAAACTTCTCTTTCCCTTCAGCTACCTTCAAACGATTCATCAGCTCACCAATAACCCTATACTCAGGTCTAAGCTTGAAATGCTTCTCCTCAAATTTGTCTAATTTGTTCATCCACCTAAACGCCTCATCAAGTGTCTCTGCCAAAAACAAACATACAACAACTTAGAACAAATCACAAACAATCAAAAACAATTTCTAAGCCATAAAAAATGTTCATATACCTGACTTGGTAAGAGTCTGAAGAAGCTCCTTATGCCTCTGAAACTTCTTATTAAAGATGTCTTCTTTCTTCCTTTCTTCATCCAAATCAATCTCATCATATTCACTATCAGAATCAGACGACTCTTCACGCCTGTTTAATTCACCATCATCTTTCAAATTCTGCTTCTTAAGCTTCTCGATAAACGGCTCAATCCCTAAGTAATCCTCCTCGTCTTCGGCATCAATGTCTTTGTAATCAAGTCCTTGTCTTTGCCTCTCCTCTCTCTCACGCTGCTTCTCTTTCTCAACCTCCGCTATAAGATCTCTCACTACTCTATCAGCTTCCGATGGTGACATTGTGAATGAGGAGAAGAAACGGTACCTCTGAGATGAGATCCATGGCGTATGATTTACGGGGAAGGAGGAGGAGGAGTAACCGGAGATTCTTCTGGGAAATGTGGATGTTGAGGAATCAAGAGTAGAGATTTGACGGGAAAATGAAGATCTAGGGTTCCGGCGAAGTAGAAGACGAGGCCAGGACGATGCTCGAGTTCTCAAAGACATCGTCAGTCAGAGATTCATCAGATGGAAATGGAAGAGAGAAATTTCAAAAACCTTTGAGAAGACAGAAATGATTTTTAGGGTTTTTGTGTGTTGACTGACATTTCTTTTACAAATGGGCTTCACTTTCAATCATGGGCCCAATTTGGTCAAGTGAGGTCAAATATGTACTAGAGAAAATGTCATGTTTGGGATGAAAATTGTTCATAAAATATAAGAGAAATCGGAGAAATAAGATGAAAACTGTTGAATATTATATTATATTATAAATAATAAAAGTAATAATAATATGTAAACGAGAAAGTTGTATTATTAATTTGCGTCATTTTGAAACCTACCCTACTTTTTAGTTTTCATTTGAAAAATACCCCTTTTCTATTTCTACTGAAAATTACAAATTTTTATATGTAAAATAATAATTTTGTCCATATCTAAATTAAAAGGTGTATTTTTAGTAAAATAAAAACTAAATTAAAAAATTGAGACAGAAAAGAAAAAAGAAATTCAAAACAATTTTAGTTATTCTTATAATTATTTTTTGAGATAATGATAATCTATTTATTTTCTATAATAAATTTAACAAGATCAAATCTAAAAAATATTATATAGTCTATCTCTTAATATTTTCATGTTATATACACAAAAAATCTCAACATAACGTAGATTACGATTTAACATCGATAGATTGATGTAATATACATGTGTTATTGATTAGATTAACGTACGACTTATAGCTTTAAACATAATATTTTTTGTTTTATTTACAAGTGTTATTGATTAGAGATAGGGTAACCAAAAACCAATGGAAATCTAATCAAAATTAGTCAAGAGATTTTGTAAGTAATAATGAACTATTAAATTTTAATCAAACGTAGGAACGTAAATCACTTGATGGGAGAATTCACAATTATTTTATATTATTTAAGAGAAATTTTTAAGGTAAGATTTATCTTTAAAATTGTTAGTTACTTCAAATATTAATTTTAAAACTAAATTAATGGATTTTCTATTTTATGTGTAAATTATTTTTAATTATTACTTACTGAAACTGTTTTAGTAAATTAATATATTAAAATATAGTTTTTAAAAGGAAAAACAAGGATATGGTATTTTTCAAACAAGAACTCATATAGATGGCATTTTTCCAAATCTCTATACTATTAAAAGAGAAGTACAAATGTACTTGGGTCGGGCTACAATTGAGAAAAATTTAAAAATGACCCGGAAACATCCTAAATGGATCTTTACAAACTTTTAAAAAAATATACAAATCGGATCTTCTAGACATATTTACACACTTTACAAATTATAAAACTCGGAAAAAAACGACACTAAAACATTAATTACGAAAAAAGCATTAATTAGTTACCTAACAAAAAGGAGAATTGCGTTCAACAGTTTATGGAAATAAGATTATGCAAAATTAATCGTTGAGATCTTCATAATATTTTTTTACGACACTAAAACATTAATTACGAAAAAACATTAATTAATTACCTTACAAAAACGAGAATTGCGTTCAACAGTTTATGGAAATAAGATTATGCAAAATTAATCGTTGAGATCGTAATAATATTTTTTTGACGACACTAAAACATTAATTACGAAAAAAGCATTAATTAATTACCTAACAAAAACGAGAATTGCGTTCAACAATTTATGGAAATAAGATTACGCAAAATTAATCGCGTGGATCTTAATAATATTTTTTTGACGACACTAATACATTAATTACGAAAAAGCTTCAGTTAATTAATTACCTAACAAAAAGGAGAATTGCATTCTACAGTTTATGGAAATAAGATTATGCAAAATTAATCGTTGAGATCTTAATAATATTTTTTTGTGCACAAATATCTAATTTCTCGCCTAAACAATCTTACTTACTTTATTTACAAGTACAATCTTACGAAATCTCCAATAATACAAAATCGAATTATATATCAAACGTTAATCATGTTATAATACATCATATTGGACTTATAACCGGGCCCAATAAGCCCATCAGGGTTATTCATTATGTATTGTATCCCGATGTACTTCTATATATTCCCTTGAGGATCAATAAAATAATTAGTTCCACAACACGTTATCAGCACTTTTGCTCTGGAAAAACATTTTTTTCGAAAACCCTAGACCTAGCATCAACCGCAGCCACCGCGTTCTTCATCTCAACCGCCGCCGCCGCCGTTGGTGATCTAAGTCGCCGATCTCCTCCGGCCATCTCTCTTCTCCGATCTGCTTGTGAATACCGAGGTCTTTAGCTCCCGGTTCATATCCAGTCAGATCCTAAACGGTGAAAACAAGGTAGATCCATCATCTCATCAATTCGGTTCATATTCAAAAAAAAAAAAAAAAAAAAAAAAAAAAACATTTTTCAAATCAATATTCAATCATTTACAAACGTTTTTTTTGAGATCGAAACCATTGTTTTCAAACCATTTTTTTTTATGTCATGCATGAGAATCCCTTAAACCGAATCATTTTCATCGTTTTTGTATTGAAAACCCTTTCAATACCATTCACGATTTTGCCATATGAAACCCTAAAAACGTTTTTGCGTTTGAAAACCGCAAAATTCAAATCGTTTTCCTCAAAGAGAAACGAAAACCCTAATGCGTTTTTTCAAACGTTTTCAACCGCATGTCTACAATCGCGAATTCAAATCGTTCTCATCATCGAAACATAAACCCTAAAACCGCTTGAAACCTAGCGGCTCAACCGCTTACTTTTGTAAAATCGCGGCTCAACCGCTTCTATGTCCAAAACCGCAATTTTCGTGTATCCCCTAAACCGGAAATCATTCTCGGTTAACTCCTAAACCCGAATATCAATTCGGTTCATCGGTTAAACCGGTTATCAATTAAAACATATATTAACTTGGTTCATCATTTAAACCGACTCAAAATCAATTTACTTTTGGTTAACTAATAAACCGGATCTCAACCCGGTTAACATAAATTTAAACAAAAAAAAAAAAAAAAAATTCATTTTGGTTATATATCTAAACCGATTATCAAACCGGTTCCGAAAATAATAACCGGATCTCAATCTGGGTAAACCGGTTCAAACCGGTTATTCTAAACCGGAAATCAATTCGGCCCAACCCCAAAAACTAAAAATCCCTAAACCGGAATCTAATATTCCGGTTCAACTTTAAACCATTAAACCGAACTTATGTTCTGTATAACCAAAAAACCGTATCCTTAAAATTTATGATTTCTGAGAAAGTTTCCTAAATTAGAAAGTTTCCTGAAATAGAAACTTTCTTCAAATAGAAACTTTCCTCATTTAGAAGGTTTCCTAAAATAGAAACTTTCCTCATTTAGAAAATTTCCCAAATTAGAAACTTTCCTCAAATAGCAAATGACCCGGAATGAAAACTTTCCTAAAAATAGAAAGTTTCCCGAAATAGAAACTTTCCTCATTTAGAAAGTTTCCCAAATTAGAAACTTTCCTCAAATATAAAGTTTCCTCAAATAGAAACTTTATAACTAGTATTACATTCATATAACTATTATTTTAACAAACCCCTAATGAAATCAATTTCATGTTTTCAGATGTCAAACATTCAGAAAGTCGAGTTCGAGGCCCTCAAGGTCTCCGGTGAAAACTATCTCGAATGGACCCTGGACACCAAGATTTTCCTCAACTCAAAGGGACTGGGTGAGTGTATCAAAGCGGATAACACCGCATCTGATAAAGACCGGTCCCAGGCGATATTTCATATCCGCCATCATTTGGCCGCGAGCCTCAAACAGCAATATCTCACTCTTGAGAACCCACTCGAACTTTGGGTGGCCCTGAAAAAACGGTATGATCACCAGAAAACGGTGCTCTTGCCACAAGCCAAGTTTGACTGGAAGGAACTCCGGTTCCAAGATTACAAATCTGTGGATGACTACAACTCCGAACTCTTTCGGATAGTTTCAATCATGAAACTATGTGGTGAAGAGGTGTCTGATAATGATCTCCTCGAGAAAACATTATCCACCTTCCATACCCAAAACATTGTGCTTCAGCAGCAATATCGTGCAATGAAACATACATTGTACGAAGATTTGTTATCTTGTTTGCTCTTGGCCGAGAAAAACAACGAGCTGTTAATGAGGAACAGTGCCCAGAGGCCCCCGGGATCGGCTCCAGTACCAGATTCCCGCAAAGAATCCTACAATGTCCAGCGAGACAGATCCTCAGATCGTGGCCGTGGACATGGGAATGGACGTGGGAATGGACGTGGAAAGCGTGGACGCGGAAATGGACGTGGAAAGCGTGGACGCGGAAATGGACGTGGCAACCGACATAACCTCGGTTATGGTTCCGGTAAGGGCCGTGGTATCTCTAAACCAAACCGCCCTGCCCACCCAACCAATCAGTCTGCCTGCACCATATGCGGAATGTTCAATCACTGGACAAAGAACTGTCATACTCCCAAGTTTCATTGCGATTTGTATCAGAAACATGGGAAAGCACCTGCTGAAGCTAACATGGCCCAGCAAGTTGATGCTGATGACACCACCACCGAGCCGACCGATCCCATGGACTACGAGATCTCAGATCTCCTCGATTGATTCTATCATTTGAACACTTGCTGATATCTCTCTATTTTACCACTTTTAAGCTTACTTTTCTCATACATTTAGCTAAGTTTTATCACTCTTTCATTGCATCCAGAGTCCTTTTCATATCATTTTCATCACTTAGTACGTTTTGCATTGCATGGCATAGCATGTTGCATATTGGGTGAGTTTCAGGTACTTTGGAGCTTATTTTGGGACTTAATGGAGCAAGGAGGAGCCACACAACCTTGGAACTAGACTTGGGATCGAGTTGGAGAGGAATGAAGCCAATCGAGAGCATCCAGAACCTGTCTCGACGTCATGGGCTCGACAGGAGGTTGAGCTGGTGCCCAGAAGCAACCAAGTGTCTGTCTCGACCAACCTGGCTCGATGTGAGGTCGAGTGAGACGTGAAGAAGCCACCAAGTGTCTGTCTCGACGTGGCTGGCTCGACGACACGTCG